TCATGTTGTTGGATGGTTAGGAGGACAGTGGTATTCCCAGGCCACCAAGGTTCAAATCCTGGTGCTCGCATTTATCCTGAGTTTATTTCAGGATTTCTGGCAAGGAGACATTCCTATCGACTACGAGGCACCTACGATGACTTCGTAAAATCTCAAGACAATATGCCGGCTCAGTCTTTCGGAGGTGCTCATAGGGGTAGGGTGTGCGTTCATAGGGGTGAGTGTATGCGTGTATATACGACGCTTGCGTCTGTATTGTGTTAAAAAGGAAATGGGCCCGGTCCAAAACTAGAGGGGTATGCTATTTGGCAGTTATTCTTCACAATGGGCAAAGAATAGGAGTCAGAAACCCAAACTAGGCTTAGATAAGGCCCAACGAGTGTCTGGCAGGTTTCCTCTCTGACCCCGTCTTCCTCAGGGTTGTGAAGTTATCTGCTCATAGCCATAGCCATAGCCCCGGGAGAATATCCGGTACACCCAACCCCTAGGGTGCTCCCGGTGCTCCAAACTCCGTAGCACATTCTTAAATGTTCGAAAAATTCTGAAAAAAATCGAGCACCTCTCGTTCAGACACTACTACACATCTCTGTGTGTGCCCCTACATCTATGTCTTCGACACTACTACTTATGCCATTTATGTGCTACAAATGGATCCTACCGACAGGATGATAATTCTCATGGTGGCAAAAAAGCAAGATATCTGTGTCCGGAGCTTCCAGAGGTATGTTCTGATAATGGGAAGCTTCTATTGCGAGTGAAAATATCAGCAGAATAGCTAACGAAATAATTACGAATATATTTTTCACCTCTCGATCTCCTGAGGTCCCAGTGCATTAGTAGCTTTGCTTTGTTCTGTTGCAATTTACAACCAAATCCCCGGCAGAAAACTGTTTGACATCTCGAAATTTGGATCCCTGGTTATCATTTGTTTCCCTTATGTGCCTTCTGTTTCATTTGCCGTGATTGATGTAGTTTAGATCCACTCTTCTTCTGTTTATGATAAGTACAACCCTTGGAAGGTTTGGTGGCCTCTTCCACATCTAGCTTATGGTCTTAGGCTCCTGCTTCATCCTCATCTCGCTTATGCCAAGCCTTTTCAGCATAAAAAACAGCATTTAGAGAGCAAGTAGTTCCTTTGTACTTTAGACTCTCCGAGTCAAATGTTTGAATTTCTCCACTTTTGCATGCAGGAAATCTGGCATCACACACAATCCCTAGTGCCAATGCGAGACGCGGCCAGGGCTGCATGTGTGTCTCGTTCCTTTTTGAACTCCTGGAGATGCCATCATCACCTCACCTTCACCAATGAAACAATGTGGTCAAAAGAAACTTTATTGAAGGGAACAACTGACCCGAATTATAGAAGAAACAGAAGAGAGTATAACAACAATATTGACCGTATTCTGGCAAATCATAGAGACGTCGGTGTGAAGACATTTGGGTTTGTATTTTATGGTAGTTACTGTAGAAGTGCATGCTCTAGCCAATGCAACCAAAAGACCAATCTGATGGAAGAGACTAGGCAGCACATTATATGTCAACACCCCACCCTCACATGTGGCTCCCTCAGGCCTAAACGTGGACCGAAAGTGGGCTGCAATTTAATTGCGTCAGCCGGGTCTTGAACACAAGACCTTTTGGCTCTGATACCATGTAGAAGTGCATGCTCTAGCCAGTACAACCAAAAGACCAATCTGATGGAAGAGACTAGACTGCATATTATACGACAACACTTACAATACCAAATTTTATAATCGTCTCAATAATTGGCTTCAGATTGCTATTACACCAGTGATGGAAAAACTTACCCTTACATCGGAGAAGGCAAAGTATGAGTTCCCTTGTTCACTTTTATCTGATAGAAGTGGAAACACGATACGGCATCTCGACCTTGCTAATTGTATCTTGCATCCCACAGTTAACCTTAATTTGAGATGCCTGACAGTATTGGATTTGTACGAAGTGCCTATCACAGGGGGTGAGTTAGCGATCCTTCTTTCCAAATCATTTGCTCTGGAAAAATTGACACTCCTACATTGTCATGATATACGCCGATGATGTGGTCTTATTCATCAAGCCAAACTACACGGATCTGTCATTTGTTCAAGAGACTCTCAAAATATTCGGAGAGGCATCAGGGCTCAAGGTGAACTATGCTAAGTCGTCTGCCATTCTTATCAGAGGGGAAGAAGGGGATGAGGAGATGGTCCGGAACATGGTGCCCTGGCAGATTGAAAAGTTCCCATGCAGATACTTAGGCTTGCAGCTCAGCATCAAACAGCTCAAACGATCGGATTGGCAGCCGATGATTGACTCTGCTCTGAGAATCCTGCCGGGATGGCAGAGAGGGATGGTGACCCGGCCCACAAGGCTGATCCTAGTTAACTAGGTCATGAGGGCAAGACCTACACATCACATCACATGACTTTTGTCTTGGTTGTAAGTCACTGTTCGTCCCGCAAAGTTTATTTAATAACCGTAGTGGAATCAATTAACTCAAATATCTCAACAATTTTATTTTCAGGTGTCAGTGCCGCCGACTTATGACTTGATCTCTCAACCCTGAGGCAAATGCCAAAATAGAACCATGACAAGCTCAAGGGTGTGCAGATAACTGGTTTCTTCCCCCAGAAGACTTTGGCTGAGCTACTGACCCTTTAGTCCCGGTTCAATCCAGAACCGGGACTAAAGGCCCTCCACGTGGCCGGTCCACCTTTAGTTCCGGTTGGTAACACCAACCGGTACTAAAGGAAATTTCCTGATTTTTTTTGAAATTTTTTTTGAAATTTTTTTGAATTTTTTATTTTCAAATTTCTGAATTATTTTAACATCTAATCTCTAATCACCCCTCATCACTGCTCAATTTAATCTCTAATCACCCCTCATCATTCCAAATCATCTCACTTCTCGAACGGTCACCCATCCTCTCACTACTCCAGCCTGAGCACGCTTAACTTCCGGGTTCTATTCTCCCTCGTTTCCAAGTCTGCACTTGTTGTTTTCCTGACAATAGTAAGATGTCAATCCTATTAACCCTCAGGAATTTAGCTTGAGCATGAAGTCACATATTTCATTGTTTGAGTTTAAAACTATTGTTCTAAAAAACAATAATTTTTTAGTAACACCAATATTTTTGAATAAGTAGTTTGATCACCACAGTTTGACCAGATTTGACCAAAATTCAAAAAAGGTGAAATAATTATTTAATAACACTAATATTCTTGAATAATTATTTAGTAACACTAATACTTCTTGAATAAGTAGTTTGACCATAGTTTGACCAGATTTACTGAAAATTTAAAAAAACTGAAATTTGAGCATAACTTTTTTTCCTTTTGGAATTTGAGGATTCTAGAAATTTGCAAACAGGCCATAGGCCGTCTCCATCGGATGTAACTTTTCGAGTAGATGATTTTTCATATAAAAAACTTTTTCATCCGAGTTCGTATGCAAAAGTTATGCCCATTTTGCAAATTCCAGAGAGATTTTGTAAATAAAGTCGAAATTCATATTTGTAAATTTTCCCAACAACTAGACCACATATTACATGTGAAACTTATTTTCTTTTATTTTTTGACATTTCCATCATTTTCTTTTATTTTTTTTAAAACTGAAAAGGCGATCCGGGGGGGTATAGTTTGAAAATGGGACCTTTAGTACCGGTTCGTGGCACGAACCGGGACTAAAGGTCTCATCCCCATTAGTCCCGGTTCGTGCCTCAAACCGGGACTAAAGGTCTAATCTTTAGTCCCGGTTTGTGGCACGAACCGGGACCAATGGTTGTGGGCCAGGAGCGAGGCCCATTGGTCCCGGTTCATCCCACCAACCGGGACCAAAAGGTCTAGATGAACCGGGACTAATGCCTTAGCCGCACGAACCGGGATCAATGCTCACATTAGTCCCGGTTCTAGACTGAACCGGGACTAATGAGCTGAGCCGGCCTGGACCATAGCCCTGTTTTCTACTAGTGACGGCATATTCTAGAGAGTTCAGCGTCACTTGAGTGCCTTATATTAGACACTGTAAAAGTGAATCGTCGGTGCTATGGCCATATATCTAGGAAATGTTCTCCCCTGGACGAGGCATATATCAAGGAGGCATGCGAGTCGATCGTGGCTGTAAAGACGTACATCAAGGGGATGGTTCCATCTACAGTTTGGTTAGATGTTTTAGGGCCTTAGCCGGTGTCATTCTTAATAGCATACTCGATGATGCCCGCACGTTGCTGTGTAAATTGCCTGCAATGTATTTTTGATACTCGAGTATAAAAAAGGGTTGTCGGGATTTTGGATACGAAAATGGTAACTGAAACCACATATAATACGAAAATGTTATAGAATTGACGTTTTCTGAGAGTGGTTTTTTGAGCAAACGCTCTCTAGTGCTTTCAATTTCACGCACAAATCTTAAAGCTGTGACATGTGTCAGTTACTATGGGGAACATGAAATTGATTATATATTACCGCACACACACCAGCACAAGAGGCAAGAGGTGGACATCTTGCTATACAAGGCAGAACACAAATTAAATAAAGCAAATTAGGTTCAGATCGAAACACCCACCCCTACAGCTAGTCACGCAAAACATAATCCCTCCCGTCTTAAAAAGATTCAGGTCATATTTTGACTCTCCAATTCCAGAACATGAAGCAACTATGTACAAAGAAACATTAGGGGAATGCACACAACCATGCAGTTTCAGTAACATGATAAAACATTATAATAATATGTAATCAGAAGACATGTAGAAATTTCAACAATGACAGTACAAATGAACAATTACTACACTCCGTTTGCTTTCCCGTGCAAATGCTGCCCGAGGACGCATAAAATGTTCAGCTACCACAGAAACTAGCAAACACCACCAGAGCTCTAGATGAAGTATATTCACTCTCATAAATGGAACACCATAATATTGGTCCAAACATTGAGATATGGCTTGATGAGAGATAACTTCTAACAGCTCAAACAAACAGGTTCAACACATGGAGAGCGCAAATTCAACGGAGCAGATCAAGGGCATGACGAGATCTATGGTTGTCAACCCTGTCTCCATCCACATATGTGAATCCATACCTCCCAGATTTTTCCCCGTGGCCAAGTGGGAGCGAATCTTTGAGCTCATCGTCCGGATGACGCCAACACGGTATGGGCACCGGCCACCTATTTCCATTATCCAATCATTTTCCACACACAGTAACGTTATCGGCAGATTTTGTTTATGCAAAACATCAAAGTGATGAGTAAATATAATGCACACCTGATTGGTTTACCGCTGCCAACTTCAACAGTCCTGTGTCAAACACAGTAGGCCAGATTTAATGCAAAGTTTTTCTTTTTCTCTTTGATAAAACACAAAATTTCAAGTCCTGCAGTTGAATATGCCAAACAAAAAGTCAGTGTACATACCCATTTTCCTTAAAATGTGCCAGCACTCGAATAATACAATCCCTGAACAAGAACGGGGTTCCTATTTTCTTATCATAGAAGTTCATGCCAACAAATCTCCCTTTAAAGTCAATCAGAGGCCCACCAATCCCAGCCTAGCAAACAAAAGGTGTCATTAAAGCAATATGAATGGAGAAGTTGCCATTTGTTTTGCCAAAGAGATATGGTCTAGTACATCATGTGACGGATACATCAAATAAGATTAACCCACGGCTCCACGAGCAGTACTAACCTTAGTGATCTTACAACTGGAGTACCTAAGATCTCTGTAGTCAAGCACGCCTGACCAGTCAGTTAGTCTCCCATGTGCAGCCATTAACCTGCCAGATTTGAAGCAGCGCCCCACAGCTACTACATTGGAATCTTCCAGAATTAGAGGATTCCACCAATCTTCATGAATTCTAACTGGACGAAGACAGCAGAAATCCTTGACAACGACAAGAGCAACATTGTAGTGTAAATTACAATATCGCAATTCCCCTTCTTTGCATTTATTGTTTGGAAGCAAAACTTCAATCTGCAAATGGCACTTGTGAGACTTAAGCAGAAAATGTAAGGACCACATCAAGAACCAACCTTCAACTTTTCAGCAATCTTGTTTCCATCTTTAGGATCACTAACCAAACTCGCTGAAGTCAGAATGGGGGTGCATCCATTCCATTCAATAAATAAGCCTGTGCATGCGAAAAACCTCCTTTCTCCTGTATATATACCGCAGTTTTGATTGACAGCCAAGTTCAAATGTGGAATAGTAAAAGGCACATTACTGAGATATTACCGCTGAATGAAGCGAGTGCGACAACTCGTCGAGGTAAACTATGAGAACCCATTTCTGTGAGTTGGCTCCAGATACCTTTACCAGAATCATATATGTCACCAAAAGTCTCTTCGAAGGTATTAACCAAAACCAAGCCCTCTGTTCAATGTTAGATGGCACAATAGTAGTCAGTGGTAGAGGAAAGCTGTAAACAAGTGCAACGCAGTACCGACTTATAAGCATCAACTCACCACTGACAATGGTTTTTGATGGCTTTGGATAACCCAAGGAGTCTAGATCACCAGATCTGTCTATGTCCCCAAGTTGAAAACACCCATGAAGATAGTGTAATAAGGTTAGCTGATTAGCATTGACACCATGAGAGTACAACTATAAAAAAGGCTAAACAGCTTACGTGAAATGCTAAGTTTGCATCACTTGTGAGGATCTTATGAAACAATATCACTAGAAATGATGAGAAAATGCACAACAGCAAAATATATCTGGCTGTGTGCTCACCTCTTGCATAGGTGCAATATGGCATGGGCTGCACTGGCCTCTGTATTTTCATATCCTTGTGGGAACTGGAAAGACATAGTAAACTTGGAATAAATTTTACATCCCCATGAGTACGAACCAGAAGTAAAATAGACCAAATCAGCGCTACGCAACATCTACATTAACAGAATTGCAAGAGAAGAAAGAGGACTACGTTGTGAGGAGAACTGAGCAATTGCACTATACAGAACCTATAGGGTCAGGAAAAGATCATAAATCCAACTATTTACCACATTTTAAGTCCGAAACAGGATGAGATTAGAAAAATCTACTACTCCCTCCGTTCTATAATTCTCGTCGTGGTTTTAGTTCCACAAGAATTATGGAACGGAGGGAGTACATTCAACATTAATGTGTTACCTGAGGATAAAAAAGGGAAGTGGGAAGAAACTACGAACACCATACATAAATATAAAGCAGGAACAAAAAAGCTACTAACTTCAGCTTTGAAGTAATGATGAGTATTCTTGGTAGAGGCAGCCAACAAGCAAGTTGTTATGAAGGGATAAATAAACAATGAAAAGTGCAAGGAAATAACAAGTGTGATGCATAAAACCACAAAAGGAATGACACCCTACGCCCACGATCCAGATTCTTGCAAAATTAATATGCCTCGAAATGTTTGGTAATCAATATAGCCTAGCACAAATGGAATTAGTGCTGGACAAACATAAGCAAAAATACAAGAAAACACACAAGATATACCTGAACCTCTCAACTTCCCTTTTTGGCTTAAATTTCTCCAACCATTTGATAATTGTACTCCTTGGCACGAAGGAAGTTCTTTCCGCAACCAAAGAAAGGTTCATGCCAAAAAGGTTCCCATCACAATCAAAAAGTGGCCCACCTTCCCAAGCCTAGAAATAAAAAAAATAAAAATAAAGAGGCAACAATGGTTACATTGAATAAAAAAGAACGATATGGAACAAGAGGTACATAATAAAAACATGATTTATATGCCTCAAAGCTATATATTTCAAGTGCATATAGTTGCAGATAAAATACTCACACCATGGTGAAAGTGTACCTCAGAGATTTTACAAGTGGAAAGCATAAGCTGTTTGCCATCTTCAGATCCACTTGAATCATTAGGTAATATCCCACTTGTGGCCATTAATATCTTCAGATCCACTGGATGAACACCAAGGGTGACGAACACTATGTAGACAAGAGCAATCCCCTGATCCAAATCATAGTATCCCAATAACCCTCTGGCAACATCACCGTTGCGACACACTTCAATCTGTAATGAGACAGCAGGAGAAGTATTGAATGGTGACAAACTGACAATTATATTGAGCAAACAAGTAAAATAACTGAAGGATGATTAGCAGCACCAACTTTCAAGCTATCATGGCCTTCTCTTTTTTTATCATTGAAAGCTTTAATCAAACTTGCTGAAGTCAGAAACCTTGTGGCTTGCATCCCACATTGCAAGGCTATGCCCGAGCATGCAAATAACACCGAATGTCCTACACAAGATATAAATTTTAATCATCTGTAACTAATATTGTTAAATAAGATAAATATTTTAAAACTAAGAAAATTATAGTAAGACAGCATAGTCACCATCAGACAAAGCAAGGGAGACAACAGTTCTAGAAATTTTTGAGGTGACTTCTTTACTGAGCTCACTCCAGACACTTTGACCAGAATCACTAAAGCTATCAATCGGTTCTTCCGAACTGCCATCCGGATGTAATTCACCTAGTTAAAAAAATGATGGAACACAATTGTGAGTGCTCCAATAGAGTTGTAATAAAACATGTATAGAAAGATGAAGTGCCGGCAGACCTGAAGTCAACAGATCAAGTGTCTCTGCTCCGTCAGTGCAGATTCTCTTGTTCTTTTTGGAGCTTTCTGTTAGATCATCACCAGCTCTCTTAATTTTCAGCATATTCCTAACACTGAAGGGGAACAAAAGAAAATCCAAATGTTCAGTCATTGCCGGCAACAAAAGATTGTCGAACAACATTAATCAAAGGGTCCCCAATATAAGTCTTATGTCAGCTGATAGTCCTTGAACTAATATACTAGCTCTGTAACTAAATATAAGAAGTTTTTGCAGTTTAAATTGAACTGTAAAAACGACTTCTGAAAAAAAAAGAGGTTTACTGAACCACTAAGTGGCTGTTTGTTACTTACGCACTTCCAGATATACTCCATCAATGTCCCTCATATAAGGAAGTACTCCCTCCTTCCCATATTATATGTTGACACTACACTAGTGTAAAAAACGTTCTTATATTATGGGACGGAGGGAGTACATTATTTTGAAATGAAATAAAAAAGTATTCTGGTGCAAGAATAAATATTGAGTGCCAATGCCAGCGCAAAAATGTTAATTAGTACTGTTGTATCCTATCAAACTAGGCGTGGGAGCTCATCAATTCGATTAAAATAACTAAAAAGGAGAAAGGAAGTCTACCAATTTCACGTTGGGGTTAAAAGGTTGAACTTTGCACCCAAAATTGTACAGTACCAATTTTCACGTTCGGGGTTAAAAAGGTTAAGAAGATTAGGAGGATGTAGATAGATGATTGCCGGTTGTTCACCCAAAATTTGTAGAGGTTATTTCGGATTAATTAATCAAATCACTGAGTGACGAAAAGGTCATACCTGAGAAACCAGTGTCCAAGGATGCGGACGAGGTGGAGACAGCAGACAGGCGATGCGTTAGAGGGGGCGGCGACGAGCGTGAGAGGCCGAGAAGACGTCCGCCCGGCGGCTGTGGCGGTGGATTTTCTAGAGCGGCGTGTGAAAGGAGTCCGTGGTCTCGTTTTCTGGGGGCCACGGTCGGTGGCACATCGTGGAGGGAGGAAGAGGAAAGGTAAAAGAGTCCCGTGGTGATATTCATACAGAGTCCTCCACGACCGCTCTCGCGACTGCGTCGCCCCGTGGGCGGCCGGCCGCGCGCCGATCTCTCCCCCTCAAGTCCCCCTCTCCTCTTCCTTCCCGCCGCTGTTGCTGGTGCCCACGGCCGGCCTGGCCCTGGGGGCGCTGGTGGCGGCGGCCCTCCTGACCTTCCCCTCTCAATAGCTCTCCGGTGCGGGGTGGAGCTGCACCGGTGGGTGCTCCTAGGCGGCGACGGTCTAGCTGGCGGCGGGGTTCCTCGTCGCAGAGCGGGTAGGCGGCTGGGCGGCGGCGCCATCGTTGGCGGCGGGGTGGCGCTGCGACACGTCCTGGCGGCGGTGCTCGGCCCAGATCTAGGCCCTAGGGGGCCCATCTGGATCTAGGCCGACCGACGGCGTGATTCTCGGGAGGCGGGGGCGTGGCATTGCGTGACGGGATGCTGGCGACGCCGACGCTAGCCTGCTGCAGCACGGCCGGCGGGGCATAGCGGGCCCGTTTCGGGCCTGGGCAGGCCAAGGGTGACCTGGTATGCCCTGCTGCCGTGTCCGGTCGGCTACCGCGACGGTGCCGAAGGCGCAGGCTTCTCGCACTACCGCGGTGGAGGTGGTTCCCTTCCGCTCGGCCTTGGTGCTGCTGCTCTCGTCGTGTGGCACTTCTATCCGGTCTACTCGGCCTCGTGTTGGTGTCGTAGTGAGACGGCGTGGGTGGCGGCGCAACCGCGATGGCGCATTGGGCGGTGGTTTGGATGGTAGGCTCCGGATGGGTAGTGGTGTTTGGTGTGCGGGAGAAATCTTTACCGGTTCGTCCGACTCCGATGCGGTGACACCGGCGGGTGCCACCATTCCTTCTTGACGGGTGTCAGTGGTAGCCATCCCCCACTTTCCTCCGCATACTGAGGGAAACCCTAGGACTCGTCTGGGCAGCAGCGTCGTCAGCGTCGCATACTTTCTTGGAGCTGCTGCTTGGTACGCGGCACTCGGAGCCTTGGGCTGTGGTAGGGTGTTTCCGGAGGGCGCAGCGGTGGCGGGCCTTCCACGCTTTGTCGAGCTGTCGTTGTTGGCATTTGTTCTTCCTCTTTTCTGTCTTTGGGCTTGTTGTGCTGCTCGCCCCAGCGTCGCGATGTGTACTATGTTGGTTGGTTGTTTTGGAATACAAAGCGGGGGGAAACCCTTTTTCGGTAAAGAGTCCCGTGGTCTCGTTTGCTGGGGCCTAGGTCACGCCGCTTCGTTAGAGCTGAAGGAAATATGCCCTAGAGGCAATAATAAAGTTATTATTTTATTTCCTTATATCATGATAAATGTTTATTATTCATGCTAGAATTGTATTATCTGGAAACATATAATACTTGTGTGAATACATAGACAAACTAAAACGTCACTAGTGTGCCTCTACTTGACTAGCTCGTTAATCAAAGATGATTATGTTTCCTAACCATAGACATGTGTTGTCATTTGATTAAGAGGATCACATCATTAGGAGAATGATGTGATTGACATGACCCATTCCATTAGCTTAGCACCCGATCGTTTAGTATGTTGCTATTGCTTTCTTCATGACTTATACATGTTCCTATGACTATGAGATTATGCAACTCCCGTTTGCCGGAGGAACACTTTGTGTGCTACCAAACGTCACAACGTAACTGGGTGATTATAAAGGAGCTCTACAGGTGTCTCCAAAGGTACATGTTGGGTTGGCGTATTTCGAGATTAGGATTTGTCACTCCGATTGTCGGAGAGGTATCTCTAGGCCCTCTCGGTAATGCACATCACATAAGCCTTGCAAGCATTGCAACTAATGAGTTAGTTGCGAGATGATGTATTACGAAATAAGTAAAGAGACTTGCCAGTAACGAGATTGAACTAGGTATTGAGATACCGACGATCGAATCTCGAACAAGTAACATACCGATGACAAAGGGAACAAAGTATGTTGTTATGCGGTCTGACCGATAAAAGTCTTCGTAGAATATGTGGGAGCCAATATGAGCATCTAGGTTCCGCTATTGGTTATTGACCGGAGACATGTCTCGGTCATGTCTACATTGTTCTCGAACCCGTAGGGTCCGCATGCTTAACGTTATGATGACAGTTTCATTATGAGTTTATATATTTTGATGTACCGAAGTTTATTCGGAGTCCCGAATGTGATCACGGACATGACGAGGAGTCTCAAAATGTTCAAGACATAAAGATTGATATATTGGAAGCCTATGTTTGGACATCGGAAGTGTTCCAGATGAAATCGGCATTTTACCGGAGTACCGGGAGGTTACTGGAACTCCCCGGTAACCTAATGGGCCTTAATGGGCTTAGTGGAGGAAGAGGAGAGGAGGCCTAGGGGCTGCCGCG